AGACAATCGGATGTCCAACATCTTCTTAAAAACCTCCAATGATGGAGCACCCACAACTTCTGGAGGCAAACTGTTCCACTGATTAAAGATAAGAATTTTGTCTGACTTGCCCCAATCTGACCCCTTGGCTCCATTTCGTTAAAGCAAAGGGTTCTTTTACTAAAGGTATTGGTTGCAGTAAAGTCAAGCCAGTTCTGAATTTTCCCATGCTGGAAAGATACAAACAGGTTCGCCCACACCCCATGACCAGTCCATTTCCAGCCAACCAGAGCTCACCAAAATGTTTTGAGAATGCTATGATGTTTTGGGGTAGTCCCATATTTTCTCAGGGTGCCTGGCCTTGGGATGCTGATACAAACTAGGTCCGGCTGCTCTGGTCTTTATCACCTGTCATTCCCAATTTCCCATCACACACACACACAGCTTTATTGCCCTTCCATCCCTTCACCTCCACTTCAATCCTTTGATGGCAGGATGCCTATGAGGTGCCAAGCTGAGCCAAGCAGATCTAACATTCTACCGCCCCTTAACAGAGACATTAGTCCTGCAAAAGAAAAAGAAGAGGGGAGGAAGAGATGCAGAAAGATTCTAAATTAGCAAATAGTTCAATGGGGTTTAACTGGGTATTGGTCATGGATTTTTTTTAAGCAGTTTGAGGGCTTTGATATGTTGGGAGTCAACCCATTCGGTCTTTGAGGGAAGGAAGTCCTTCCAGGTTACCAAATACTGTTTTTTTCCCCAATGTATACAAGAGTTTTCCTTTAATCATAATGGGGTTGGGAGGTGGTTGCAATTAGGGACGCAAGGAAGATGTGATTTCTGGTTTCAACATGCTGCAATGAAATACCGGATGTACACATCTGAGCGTTTTTGGCAGCTCAAGTTCTACAGTCACTTGGGTAGGGGGCTGATCTACTAGGTTTCCAGGGTCACTTCCAACTTTTGTATTTATAATTTGCAGTAAAAGAACAAGGGATGACATTGGGAAAGGGGATATTTCTTAAAATGGGGAGCCTGATTATATCATTTTCAACCATTTTTTTATTAAAATGATCATTTGTCACCAAAGAGTATCATGACTCCTAAAATGAAACAGACGTTACTGTACTATTTCTTAGTATATAGTACAGTATGTGTTGTTTCCAATGGGAAAAGTTCCTGAGAAAGAAAGATCCCAATAGATCTTTTCAATAAATGGGAGGATAGGAAATGCTTTCTGTCACCTCCTGCAACTCAATTTACAACCACAATTAAACAGGAACTTTTGTCATTGAGGAGCAATTGAGTCAAGCCTGATTTTATGATCTTTTTGCTGCAGTCCTTAAGTGAACTATGTGGTTGTTGTTATCCAGCTTCCCCCATTGACTTTGTTTGAAGCCTGCTGGGAAGGTTGCAAATAGTGACCATGTGACTCCAAGATGCTGCAACTGTTGTAAATACCTGATTACCAAGTAGCCAAATTTTGATCATTTGACCAGGGGGGGCTGTGGGGAGGGGCATTGTGATGATTGTAAGTGAGCCGACTAGTCATAAGTCACTTTTTGCAGTACTGTTGTTATTTTGGTCGTTAAACAAATGGTCATAAGCTGAAGACAACCTGTATAGCTTTTGCCCCATAGAAGCTGATGAAGGAACCATCTCAACAAAGAAACTCACCCCGTTTCCAGAAACCTAAGAGTTGGATGGAGCCTATTTAAACCACTAAGCTCAGCGTTTAGTACAGGATCTAAATTAAAGTTTATAGTTTTAATGTTTTTTATGCAATATTCAGAATTGTTGAGCTTTGGGTGGCATATAAACTAAAACATACTTAATAGCTATGCCCTGCCTTTGTTTGAATATACCTACTAAAAAGAATTCTACCAACTCTATTAGTAATCACTTCCTCGGTTTAACTTAACTATTTCCATTAAAAAACAATTTTCAGGCAAAATCTGCATTCCGTTCCATATTCTGATATAATATGGAACAGCTCTTGCTTTCTTCTATGATATCCTGTCCAATATGATTGCTGTCACATAACCCCTCAATCATATTTTCTCAAGTCTAGAAATTTATCTAGAAATCTTAAAATTATGTAGAAATCTCCTTAATTTATCAGGATTAATTTTACAGAATCCTGATCACTCTTGTTCTTTCCAACCGAATCATTAAAATCTGGTGTCCAGAACTGGATACAGTAGTTGAGGGGGGCATCTATGAACTATTGCTTTTTCCAAGTTGGAAACAATTTCTGCAAATGCAAGCTAAAATTACATCTGCTTTTTTGGCGGCCCCATCCCTGCTGAGTCATATGCAGCTTGAGATCAGCTCCAAGTTCAAAATCCTTTTCGTATCAACTATTACAGAGCCATGTATTTTTATCTTCTATCACAGTATGAAAATGATATAGCTTCTGCACTAACTAAATGAACAGAAGAGGCCAGGTATTACTTGAAAATGTCTCTATTTTTGCATTTTAACATTTAAATCAGACACTGATTTTACTTTTAAAACTTTAATTATTCCTTGGATTAAGAATTTTGAAATCTGCAGACATGTAATTTTTTTAACGGCATATACCAGACAGATGAGACAGAGAGAGAGCACATGGAAGAGATATGTATTTATTATACAAGATTTGGGATTTCTCATCAACTTTATGCATAGTATATATGACTCCCACCTAATAATAGAAAAGGATTCTGAGATTCTAACAAATATAATAGAATAATTGTAAGGATTTAGTTTCAACCCAAAGTTAGTATCTTCTTTATTAGGGTACTATGATTTTAAAGAAAGAGGAAGGGAAGATGGCATCTTGTCTGAGTTCTCTACTTCCTTATATCTCTCTCTCCTTTTTCTGCTGATTTTAGTACTTTTCTTAGGCATTAACAATCTCTTCCTACAACTTTAAAGAAGGGGTTACCAATATGGCATTTTGGGGTTCAGGGATCTTGACTTCATCTGCAGAATTACCAAATTACTTGAGCCATGGTGGCACAGGGGTTAGAATGCAGTACTGCAGGTTACGTCTGCTGACTTCCAGCTGCCTGCAGCTCGCAGTTTGATTCTCACCGGCTCAAGGTTGACTCAAACTTCCATCCTTCCAAGGTCAATAAAACGAGGACCCAGATTGTTGGAAGCAATATGCTGACTCTGTAAACTGCTTAGGGAAGGCTGTAAAGCACTGTGAAGCGGTATATAAGTCTAAGTCTATTGCTATTGCTACTTTCTAAAAACTATGCAATCTTCTAAGATTGCTTAACATCAAGAGTGCAGTGCTTTTGCTATTTCTGCCTTAAATGTAAGATTTTAAATGATCATATCAAAATCTCCCACGTCAGGCAGAAATGTAACATTTCAGAATTCTCATGAGAAATTGTGAGATCCCTAGAGGTGATATTCCCCCAACCTCTTGAGATGTCAGTCGTTTTTCCCCTTTATAGCTGCATCTGATAAAAAGAAAAACTATCAGGCCCTCCATCAACTCTGTTTTAGTATGCAATACTAATTGCAGATAGCAGAAGTTGAATATATCCTGTTGAATGGGATGAAATGAAATATAAACTAATTAACAATATAAAGTAATAAATAAGGCAACAAGCATTTGATAGCAACAACCCTTTAAATTGATATCAGCTAATAAATCTCTTAAATTGTGTAATTCCTGGTAACTATATAGACATTCAGGTTTTTGTTTTTTTTAGCAACAGCAATGTTTGACATTACCTTCTGGAATATTTTTATCTTCCCAGTCCTCAGATTTTTTTAAGGTCTCTTATCCAAGTACTAAACAAGTACAATGTATCTTTCTGAGGTCAACTAAAGTCAGTTAAACATTCCTTCCTAATGTGACTAGTAATCCTAAAGTAAGAGGGAAAATACTGCCTATAGCTACCTAAATCAGGGGTCCCCAACCTATGGGCTGTGGCCCACTACCGGGCCGTGGCCTACTGCAACCGGGCTGTGGGGCAGGAGAGCCAGTGTGTCACCCCCAACCCCACTCGCGCCTGTGGACCTGTTCATGCATGCGCAAGGGGTAGCAGTAGCGGCTAGTGCCTGCACGCTGGCACAAATGGGACCGCTAGTGTGCACATGGGTTGCGTGGCCCATTTGTACATGCAAGTAGGGCTAGTGGTGGCAGCTAGCGCCTGCATGTCTGCACAAATGGGTGCTAGTGCTGTGCAGGTCTGTGTGGCCCATTTGCGCCTGCGCACCTTTGCAAACAGGACTGCTAGTGCCGTGCGGGTGCGCACAGCCCCATCCGCGTCCACGCATGCACACACATTTCCCAGTTGCTCCCTTTCCCTCTGTGCCACCAGAATGAAAAGGTTGGTAATGTCTGACCTAAATGACAGGAGGAAGTGTGGTGCATGTCTCTTTACAATTATATGCACCAAACAATATTTTATGAATGGGTAGGCCTATATCAAAATAAAGTTGTATATGGGTCAAGACCATATAAAGATTTAGTTTTGAGGCTCCAAAATTAACTGAAATCAGTAAAACTATTGCAAAATAGGTGTAGTACACTCAAATAGACTCAGTCATCAGGTGATGACCACCATATTCTTTGTAGTAGCCTAGAAAAACACTTGGTTAAGGCATGACTGTATGGTTTTTAAAAGCATTACCGTTCTTATTTTATCACACAATAAATATTTATCATGTGATATTTATTATTTACACAATATTGTAGTGGCAATAGTAATCAAATAGTAGCTAAAGCAATAATATGCTTTTTAGAATAATTAAATCCTACTCAGAATCTTTTTAAGAGAAAGAGAATGGCATTATCTTAACACCTGTTGATTTTTCAACAACACCTATGGAGACAACAGAAAAAGCAAGAAGCATTCTATGCCCACCTGGCAAATAAACTATAAATTTACTGGACATTCTGCGCATATTGTTGTTTGCTGTTTTTTTTTAAATCTCAGAATAGATATGTTGAACATCTACTTTTGAAACTTGAATATTTTACATGTTAACAAAATATTTTGAGGATAATACAGTAGGATAATTTATATCTTTATTTTAGGAAATTCCCTCATTTATTACAATTCTAATGATAAATGTGAAATATTGTTCTGTAAAATAGAATTGTAGAAAAAAGAATACCATGCACCACTTAAAAATCTTCCCAAAAACCTTCCTTGCTTTTAGTTTGCTTCAGAGATTTCACCAAGCTATTTAATTAAGGATTTTCCTAATGGGAGTACCGGCCTCCTCTACTTATATAACTGACATTCGCACTGAAGAACTAAGATTTCTCTCACAGTATCTGTACATTTCACATCTAAATTTAACTATACTGGCATAAATGGATATAGTATCATCAAAGAATGTAACTAGATCTAATTCTTACATGTATGATCAATAATCAAAGTAGACTTAGTGAACCTAATGTAAAAGCCATCCTCTACCAACTATTTTCATACCAAATCTGCAAAACTATACAATATATACCAACTTTTGAGGGATATGCGATAATTAGAAAATACAGTTTAGCAGATTTTCACCTTGTACCTAATGTGGTATGGAAATAAAACTATACATTGTAACCATTTCATACAGGAATGTACCTGGATCATGAAGAGAGTGCCCAGCAAATTCTATTATTGCAGTATTTTATTTCTGCTCTGCTTCCTAAGTAGTCCAACAGACTTATATGCAATATAAAAACGAGTTGGAAAAAAGAAACTGATATTCTGAAAAAAAATATATGTAGCAGAATGGCACCCTTTGGAGAAAGGTGATTTTTCTGATAGTCTTCTGATAGTTCAAATAATCATAGCAGAACTGAAATAATTATTATAATAATAAGTAAAGCATCTTGCATTATCTCCCCATTATACTGTGATTTATTAAAATTTTCTCATCCTTTCCTTTCCTTCATTAATTTACTTCCATAACTATAAATATCAAATGGAAACTTAATTTTCTCCTTCAGCAACATTATGAGCTTGAATCAATTTACAAAGTCCAAACTTAACAACCGTAATTGAGACTGGCAACTCTGTTGCTAAGTGATGTGGTCATTAAGCAAAACATGCTCTGGCTAGCAACATCAGTTTCAGCAATCCCAGTTGAGTAAATCTCACATGGTCATTAGATGAAGATCCACCTGGATCCAAGCCATTTGTGGAAGAAGAGCTCCCTCCACTACAACTCCACCGCACACATCTATTTCCTTCCTTATCTCTGCCTTTAATATTTTATTATTATTATTATTATGGGCTCCTATTTCTTTTTAATGTTTAATAGGTTGATTCCTTCTTAAACTTGTTGTAAAATATATATTTGAAATGATAATCATAACTAGATAGAAAACTTGCATTTTTAATTCACAGATTTTTTAGTACATTTCAACTGAAGAAAAGACAGACACACAATGAGTATAGGATTACATATATATAACAATATGCCTTGCTATAATACAATTATGGTTGCATGATAAAAATAACTGATAAAATCCCAACTCATCAGAGGTGCTGTCAAATGGAACATTAAATGCATTTTGAACATAAGCACTAATGTTTAATTTCAACTTATTAAAATTAGATCTTGGCTTTAAAAAAAAAGTTAACATTAAGCTATTTAAATAACTGAATAGGATTGGATATAGAAATGCTTTTCTCCAGCTTTCAGAGTGGAGGGGCAGAATATTTCTGCAATATATATAGGCTAAAATCCATGTTCTCCAGAAACAAATATTTTCAAAGGAATTGTGTTTGGTAAGCTGCCTTTTGCATGACAGCAAGCAACATGGGATAATCTTATGCAAAAATATTTTTTTCAAACTGTTTAACTGAAAACTATAGGCATGTCATTATAAAAATCTAAATATATCAGAAGCTCTCAACATTTCAGCTACACTGATTTTTTTTCTAAATTGTAAAGGAGAAACAAATGGACAAATAAAAAGAGTAAGTTACCTAAGCTTTGTGTTCTAACCAAACTACTTATAGTTATTTCAATGGCATATGGCCAAGGTGATACATCACAATTTTGAACACCTTTGCAATAATTTTATTTTGTATAGAAGGACAAAATTATTTATATTTGCCATATTCATTTTAAGCATTCTGCATTTCCTTCCCAATCTTGTAGCTCAATATCTTGTTCCAGTCAATCTTTGTGCGAGTAACTGGCAGTTGTCGGCGCAAAGCCTTGAAAGTAGTGTCCGACATTGTCTGATAATTTTCACTGATAGCAGTCTGTAACAACAACAACAAAAAATTCTTAAAGAATGCACAATTTGTCGATCTAAAGCAACACATTTCCAACTGTATACTTATCATTATGTTCCAAAAACTTTTTCCATATCTTTATTAGATAAACTTGATATTCTAAGATTAAACAGAAACATTATATAAATCAAACCTTAGCATATTTTAACAATAATAGAGTTAAATACAGTACTTCTGTATTCTAAGTCACTAGGAAAACCTTATAGTTTATACCTTGTAATTATAAATATAATTTATTATAACTTGTAAGGTCAAGTATCAAGAATGCTTTTACAAGATGAAACATCTCTTTCCTAGCATCTGTTAAAATTAAGAACTCAAAATTAAATCGGTTGTATCATATAGCAGTGGAGAAAAGATAATCAAACAAGCTATATAAGGTTGGATTTTGGACTAACTAGGTTTATCTGTCATGTCATCTGTTACCATACTACTGAAATAGTGTTCCACAATAACTGTTATTGCAAATAAGTGACCTGCCAAATGTTATCTCTCTATGATCACATCCTGAATGGTTGCACATTGATTTTTATACTTTTCTGTCATTAAGTATATGCTTGGCAAATTTTATTCTATGTATTACAACCATCATGAATTTAACAGACTTCTGTCTTATTTTGAACATATAATATAAAAGAAATAAGATAAAAGTTGTCCAGTAAGATTCAGAACAGTAGCTGAAATTATATGTAGTAGTCTTATAAAATATCATTGATACCTGGTATTCATTTTCTGCAGCCTCTACGATCTTTACAAATTCCTTTGCTGTTTGGGTTTCATTCTATAAAAAAGAATTTTTTTTCTGAATTAAAGCTATCATAAATAGATAACTCTCAGTATTAAGATCAAATGTCAATTCAAATATAGTACACAAACTGCAGACAGAATAGGTGTTTTGTTTAAAGTTTAACACTTTTATATCTAGAGGATGATGTAAGAAATGCAGAAAAGCCACAATATAATATTGTTAACCATTCAGATTAACAAGCTTTACCACAATAGGTATAGACTCCAGGTTATCCTCACATAACAATGGTAATTGGGACCAGCAACAAGATAATACACTAACTTATGGTGGCAATTCTGGCAGTTCCAGGGGCCACTGTTATGTGAATCTCACATGGTTGCAATATTCCATGGTTATGTGATTGCCATATCCAACTTCCTTCCCCATCGTCTTTGTTGGAAACTGGCAGTGAAGGTCACAGATGGTGATCGCATGACCCAACAGTTGTAATTATGAGCCAGTTGCCAGGTACCTGAATCATGATTACATGACCACAGAGACATTGTGACAGCTGCAACTATGAAGAATGGTTGTAAGTCCCCTTGTCCATTGCCGTTATAACTTTGGACAGTCACTTAATGAGTGGACATTCTACAAGAACTATCTATATTGTAATGTATTTTACATGGAGTGCCTTTAAAGCAGGGGTCCCCAACCCCCGGCAGCGGCCCACTACTGGGCTGTGGCCTATTTGGAACAGGGCTCCACGAGTGGCTGGCTGGTGTGCATGCATGCACAGCTCAACTTGAGCAAGTCAGGCTGCACATACTGGCTGCCGCTCACGCAAGTTGAATTTCATGCGGCCCAGCTCCTCTCTCCCCCCAGCTGGGCTGCCAAACTCCAAAGGTTGGGAACCGCTGCTTTAAACAAACTAACTGGTATGAAATGCAGTTGCTTGGCTACTGGTGGATAAGACTCACTACCCACATATAACAGTTGTGCTATAGAGTTTGAATTGGCTTCCAAGTGCAATTCTAAGTACTGGTTTTACCACATAAACTCTACATGACTTTGCCCTCAGGTAACTTTAGCCTGTTTTAAGAGGAACTGACCCACTCAATATTTTCCTAAGAGGGAAGGTTCCTGAAAGTCTGTTGCTTTTATCTCCTTAAAGCCTTGATGATCCAAAAAGTTAGACAATATTGAATTGTTTTTGGAAAACGTTTGGGGAATAGGAAAGAGGCTGCCAGATTTATAATTAAATTATTAATTATGGTAGATGTTTCCAACTTTATTATTATTATATTCTCAAGAGATTACATAGTATGTATGTATGTATGTATGTATGTATAATAAAAATAAGTATTACAGTTTAATGCAGAGGGTAACAGGTTAAAAACTGCAAGATTGTGAGTTCTAGTTCCATCTTAGGTACAAAATGAGCTGGGTGATCTTGAACCTGTCATTTTCTCTTCAGCTCTAGGAAGCAGGCAGTGGCAAAGCACTTTGGAAAACTTGCCAAGAAAAAGCAGTCATTAGGAGTCAATACTTACCTGAAGACACACAAAAACACAGGCAGTTATGACTCATAAAATTAATGCTCCAGAAAGTATAGGTAAATATAAGTATAGATAAAGTATAAGTATAACTATAAGTATAGATAAAGTATAGATAACTTCCTCCTTTTCTTATAGCTATTTGCTTAGAGCAAATAAAAGACTGTTCATTCACAGTCAAATTTTAACTAATGGAAGTAATTTTTATTGCTTAGTCTTGCCTAAAAATAAAGCTAACATGAAAAGCTTCAATTCCTCTTCTGTTTAAATTCTTTATAATTAATTAATTTGTTTATGTTTTATACTTTCAGCAGCTAGGAACCAGAAATCCACAGGCATAGTTTCTATTTTTATTTCTGGAACAACAGCTTAAAAAATACTTTTATTGAATAAAATAGGCTTTCAAAATGAAAGAATATGAATTTGAAATCTTCTATATTAAAAAAAATCTCAAATAGTTCATGAATTTTACTTACAAATGATGCCTTGAGTGCTAATAGTCTATGCCAAAGTTTGGCAAAATGATTCAGAAAATAAATCCTGTTCAGCTTTCTAGATCAAAGTATTACTTCTGTCAATTTCTGTTAATAAAGTCAATTGTATGAAGAAATCTAAGTACTTTTTCTACTTATATATGAAGGTTCCCTTCGAAGACAATGGTGATGTATTGGGAACATACATGTATTCTGCAAGTCACAATGACAAAAAAAGTTACGTGCGACAATGTAATTTTTATACTTGTATGTCAACATCAGACACAAGTAATGTAATGACTTTGTGACACATTTTATCATGTGCCCCTTCTTATCCACACATCCATACATCAGGAATACTACCTAAAAGCGGGACAGGTTGTCTATTGCTGCTTGTATGTTCATTTTTATTTGCAAATGTATTGTCTCAAAAGCGCATGCTAAATTTTCACTAACATAAAGAAAAGAATGGCATCTTCTTTTATAATACATAATATGAAAAATATGCAATATTCCTATAACAATGCACAGGAAAAGATACTTACAGTCACTGTTAGAGAATCTTGTATGTCTTTATGACTCACTAGCTGAACATTTCCATCTTCATAATAATGAACCTATGTATAGAATGTTCACAATAAAATAATTACAAATAGAAATTGACAGTGTATATTAGTGATATTATATGCCTTCCAAAATAATAGTCCTTAGCAGATTGAGATGATTCAGATGTCAATTATTCAAATACTTTTAAACTTTTAAAACATAACTGCATATAACTTGTTGCAGATTTAAAATTACTTATATTGTTCAGATCTTATTTTTATCATTTAATGTATACCTTTAAGATCAAAGTGGTACATATACTTCTCCCTTTCCATATTTTTCCACAAAAATTAACCTGTGATGTAAGTTGGGTTGAGAGAAAGTGGCCCCAAACTGCACAGTAAGATCTTTTCTGCCTGAGAGTGGACTTGAAGAAATGTTTCTTTGCGGTAGACAATCATTATACAGCACTACACTGGCTGTATATTTTTACTTTGTATTAGAAGAGATACCAAAAATATGTTCAACTGAACAAATAAGCATGGCTCAGCCCATCTCCTTGGCAAGCCAAATTATTTGGAGCATGCATTTTCCACCAATTATTTACTCTCAACTGCCTCCCAGGCAAAGAAAATTTTCAGAGAATTCTTTTTTTTTTTTTTTTTTAATTTTTATTCATTAATACAATTAAAACAACAATGGACAAACATGACATTCCAGAGTGAATTTTTCTATCAGTTCCTATCATAGTACAAAAATTTTATAATTTTATAATTTTTTGTTCTTAACCTCTATATAAACCTCATCTTTTATACAATACAATTATATATACAATTATATGTACAGTTATGTATATCTTTTAGTTCTACCATTAGTTTGAAGTCCGAGCAGTTCTTAATTCATACCAGCGGTAAAATTTGCCCCAGATTTCGAAGTATTCGTGTTCCGTTTTGTCTTTCATAATCATTGTAAGCCTGTCCATCTCAGCACATATTAAAATTTTATGCAGGATCTCTTCTTCCGTTGGGGTTTCCTTGTTCCTCCAATTTTGAGCAAAAACCAGCCTGGAGGCCGTTAAAATGTGTAGCATTAAATAAAATACGCCTTTGTCATGTTTTTGCGTAGTTAAACCTAATAGAAAGAGTTCTGGTTTTGGTTCTACCGCTTGCTCTAATATTTCTTCCAACCAAATTTTAATCCTGTTCCAAAAATCACGAGCTCGCGTGCATTCCCACCACATATGATAGTAAGTTCCACTTTTCAAATTGCATTTCCAACATTTAGGGGAGACATTGGTATACATTTTAGACAATCTTGTGGGTGGGAGATGCCATCTATAAAACATTTTGTAAAGGTTCTCTTTGTAAGAGGTGGCCAAAGTAAGCTTCTTGTTTCTTGCCCATAGTTCTTGCCATATATGCAGATCAAAATTAAGACCAAAATCCTTACTCCAATTCAACATAGTCACTTTTACTTGTTCCTCGTACGTTGCCTGATCTAGCAAATAATAGTATAGTTTTTTAATCATTTTATCCTCCGACCCCAAAATTATTTTATCCAATTCTATTGGTTCTAATTTAATACCTAACTCTTTTTTGTCTTTCCGATATCTTGCCTGCAGTTGCAGGTATGCCCACCATTCTAATTCTATCCCTTCATCGTGGATGGTTTTCCTGGATTTCAATTCCCCTCTTTCATCTAAAATATTTTTATATGTTATGATCTTGTCTAATTGAGTAAATTTTGGGTGTACATATATTTCTAACGGTGAGATCCAACTAGGTACTTGGGTATAATTTGGTTGCCAAATTTTTGTCCATACATCAATAAGAGCTTGCCTAATATAGTGACTTCGAAAATATTTATGTACTTTATATTTATGATCCCATAATATGGCATGCCATCCTATTTGTAGGTCATGGCCCTCCAGACACAATAGTCTCCTATTTTTTAGTAATATCCAATCTCTTACCCATACTAATGCTGCGGCCTGGTAATATTTCTCCAAGTCTGGAAGACCAAATCCCCCCCTTTCCTTTGAGTCCTGTAGTAATTTTAATTTAATCCTTGCTCTTTTTCCTTGCCAGATGAATTTACACATCATTTTGTTCAAATTTTGAAAAAATTTCTTGTCTAATTTTATAGGTATACATTGGAACAAAAATAAAATTTTTGGCAACACATTCATTTTAATCACCGCGATTCTGCCCGTAAGAGAGAGCTGTAGGTTAGTCCAAATATCAAAGTCTTTTTGAATCTGTTCTATTAACTTATCATAGTTATCCCTTTTAAGCGTAGCGCATTTGGCAGTCAGTTGTATCCCTAAATGTCTAATTTTATTTGTAATTTGAACACCAATTCTATCAACCAATTCACTTTTCTGTATTTTAGTCATATTTTTGACAAGCATTTTAGTTTTTTCTTTATTTATTTTTAAACCTGCTATTTCCCCGTATCTATTCAATGTTTCCATCAGCCTAATCCCTGATTGTAGTGGTTCTTCAATAATAAAAACTAAATCATCTGCAAAGGCTTGTATTTTAAATGTCTCTTTCTTGATTTCTAGACCTTGGATCTGTTCATCTTGCCGGATTGCTCTAGTTAATACCTCGAGAGATAATATAAATAACAATGGTGATAGTGGGCAGCCTTGCCTTGTGCCTTTTTGCATTTGGAAACTCTCAGTCAGTTCTCCATTGATTATTACTTTGGCCACCTGCTTAGAGTAAACTGATTTAAACATATTTAAGAAATTTTCCCCAAAGTCCATATACAATAATTGATTAAACATAAAATCCCATTTTACATTGTCGAATGCTTTTTGGGCATCAAGAAAAATTAAACACATTTGCTTTTCATTATGTACTTCATAATATTCCAATATGTCCAAAACAGTCCTAATATTGTTTCTTATATATCTTTTAGATAGAAAGCCGTTTTGATCAATATGTATAAAATCCACTAAGAACCTTTCCAATCTTTGTGCCATTATTGCCATGAAGATTTTGTAATCTGAATTCAAAAGAGAAATGGGTCTATAGTTCTTAATTTGTGTCAGGTTGGTGTTTTCTTTAGGAATCAACGTGAGGAAGGCTTCTTCCCATGAAGCTGGTATTTTAGCTTGGGTTAAAACCTCGTTAAATAAGTCCAACAGCATTGGGCTTAAAGATTCTTGTGCAATTTTATACATTTCTGCAGGTATACCATCTGGTCCAGGTGTTTTATTATTTTTCTGTTTCTTAATTGCAACCGAGAGCTCTAAATGTGTTATCTCTTTATTTAGGAGAGTTTTAAATTCTTCTGGCACCTTGGGTAAATCGACTAGTTGTAAATACTGTACTATGTCATGGTTATTTCTCTTTTCGTCGTCCTTATATAAATTCTTGTAAAACTCATATGCCACTAGCTTTTTTCCTTCGTTCTGGCACACCATATCACCTTTGGCGTTATAAAGGTTGGTAACTCTCTGCTTATTATTGTGTTTTTTGATTTTATAAGCCAACCATCTCCCTGGTTTATTAGCATTTTCAAAGAAATTTTGTTTAGTACGTTTTATCTGCTGTCCTAGATCTTCCTTCGTAATAATATCCATCTTATGTTTAATTAAATCAATCTGTTGTTTCAAATCACATCTTTGTGGTTCATTTTGCAGGTTATCCTCAACTTTACGTAGTTCTTCTTCCAGTTGTCTTTGGCGTTGTGTTTTGATTTTGTGTTGCCTAGCCATATAAGAAATTACAACGCCTCTCATGTAGGCTTTGGTTGTATCCCATAAATTTTGGCAGTTTGTATCCTCCTTTTTGTTTGACTTAAAAAACAGATCCAATTGTTCTTCTAATTTTGATTTGAATTCTTTATGATTTAAGATTGCCCTTTTTAGAGTCCATCTCCTCGTGTTTTTTTGCCCCTTCCATTTAATTCTAATCGGATTGTGATCAGCCCAGGTATTTGTATCAATCATAATCTCCTCTACTTCTAAATTTAAGTCAGCTGACATCCACACCATATCAATTCTGGACCAAGATTGATGACGTCCAGAATAAAAAGTAAACTGTTTTTTCCCAGGATTCCTTTCTCTCCAAATATCCTGTATATTAAACTCATCTACCATTTTAAAGAAAATATCAGATATTGTTCCTCTAATTCTTTTTCTATTCTTTCCACATTTATAATCTAGATTATTATCCACAATTGCATTATAGTCACCCATTATACAAATGCTATCATGTTCCAATTGGCTAATAATGTTGTAGAGTTTTTTATAGAAATGTTTTTGCCCCTCATTCGGGGCATAAATTCCAACCAAAAGAATTTTGGTTTTATTCAAAATTACTTCCACAATTAGAATTCTGCCATCTTCGTCCTTATAAATTTGCTTAGCCACAATTTCTTGTTTAATATATACTACCACACCTCCTTTCTTATATTGCGAAAGTGCTGCGAACATATTCCCCAATTTGGGACAATTTAATAAGTATTGATGTTGTTTTTTAATGTGGACTTCTTGTAACATTATTATATCTAAATTCATCTTATTGAGCCTATTGAAAAACTTCTTCCTTTTTGTTGGAGAGTTGAGGCCATTAACGTTGATAGATATAGATTCAACACATTTCTTCCCCTCCTTATCTATGTTTAGATCTAGTTACTATTGCTGGTCTAGACTCTTGAGTTTGTAAATCCTTCCCTCTTTCCACTGTTGATCTTATCGGTCTAGCCTCTTTAATTTCCTTAAACCTACTCTCCTCCTGCTTTTCTTCATTTTTCCCTTCATCAGTGTCCTCTCGAAGCTCAACTCTTTTACCTCTAGCTTCAATGGCTTGCACCAGTGTCTCTCCTTCCTCTCTTGCTTCTCTTTCAACTAAATCTTCCTTACTACCAAAGTTTTCCCTGTAGAATTCCTCTGCTTTTTCTATTGAGTCTAGGCGAAACTTTTTCTCCTGCCATGTTACCAGAATTCCTTCCGGAGTTAGCCATCTAAAATTGATATTTTTCCTTATCAGTTTGGAAGTTATGTATTGGTAAGGCCTTCGCAGGTCTCTCACTCTTTTGGGCACTTGTTTAAGTACAATCAGCTGTTTACCTCGATATTCCAGTGTATCATCTCTGAATCTGAAAAGAATTTCATCCCTAACTGATTTCTTAATAAACCTAATGTGCACTTCTCTGGGAAGATTGTGTCGTCTTGCGTAATTTGTGTGTATTCTATAGGTTTCATCTATCTCATTGGCCATCTCCTCTCTTGTAGACCCCAACGCTCCTGCTAGAATATCTGACATTATTACTGGGAGATCTTCACCTTTCATCTCTCCTACATTTTGAAACCGTAGATAATGTGCAGCCTTCTCAAGTTCCAAAGAAATAACTGTGGTTTCTAATTCTTTATTGGCTTGAACTAGCCTTTCATTCATTTCATCCACTCTCTGCTCTTCTTTATCAATCCTTTCCTCCATTTCTACTAGTTTTTGTTCATTTTTCATAAGTTGGTGGTGGAAGGATTCAAATTTCCCATCCATAGATTTAATTTTATCTTTAAGTTCACCTGTATCATTCCTTATTTCACCTATTTCTTTTTTCAGATCTTCATGGTTTTTACACATTAACTCTTGCATTGATTGCAGCATTTGTTGCAAGTCTTTAAGTGGGTTTGCCCTATCTTTTTGAGCCATTTCTTCTAGTGATCTTTGCCTAACAGAACCTGGTTCCAGCAATGTAGTTTGAAGTGTCTGCTTTCTCCCTATTCCAGCCCTTGTAAGATTTGGAGTGCTAGACATTTTTTTCAATTTTCCAAACCAACCTCCCCACTTATTTACAATTGTTAAAATGTTTTCCAGAGTATCAAAGTTGTTACTAAGAATCAAGAAGTTCTTAACATTACAAGGAAAGGGCAAATTTGCTACACAGTCTCTTTCCCTAGTAGTTTTTCCCTTCCCACTCTTACAGCAATTCTCGATTTAACCAGCAGGTGTCACTCTAATATTGTCTCTGGTATTAAACTTGTCTATTCATTCCAAAATGTCTACCTCCGTTTTTTTCCTTCCAGACGATCTCTCTTGTGCCTTAGAGTAGCTAGCCTTCCAGGGCTAAATTTCAGTCTCTGGAGTAAGGGAAGAAGGAGGACGCCCCCTTTCTCTTCTCTACAAATCCAGCCAACGTAGCAAGTAAGCAGGCAAGCCTTTTTAGCCAAACCTTCCTTTTCGCCGCTTTTCCAGGAGTGAGGGAAATCCCTCCTCCCCTCTTGTAGGCTACTAAAGTCGGTAAGTTTCAAGTGAAATCCTCCAGTACGATCTCACACCGGATCCCTTCTAGCCAGAATCTCTGCTCAGATGAATTTGACTGGAACTGTCATGTCACCGTCCAGCTTTTCCACCGCTAAGCTTCGGCCAGCTGACTGCTGTCATTTCTTCACTGCCGCCATTGTCGGCCGTTTCCCCTTCTCCGCTTGACTTGTCAAAGCTTCTCCTGGGTTCGTGGCTCCTGGCTGCCGCCTGAATCCACTCCCCAGGGCGCCTTGTTGTTCCCAGTCCCCCTCCAGGGAACTAGGGATCACAAAGGATCTGTCAAACAGTCGGGAACGGGGTTAGATGCTTCAGAGAATCATCCAACACACCCGTTCTTCCTGGCAGCTGGCCCCGCCCCTCGAGAATTCTTGATATTGGTGTCCAAACAGACATGTACTTATTGGCAAAAAATGTAGCCAATTCCCAATGTACAACCACAATTAAGATTTAATAACCTCCATTGTTAAGTGATGCAGTCATTAAAGGAGCCACATCTAATTTTATGTCCTTGTTTGCTCCAGTCATTAAGCTAATCCCCTGGTTGTTAAACGAATCCAGCGCTTCCCACTGACTTTGCTTGTTGGAAGCCCTGTGGAAAGGACCCAAAATGATGATCATGTGACCCAGGTTGCTGGACCATTGTAAATACATGCCACATGTCAAGCATCTGAATTTTGATCACAGGACTGGGGATACTGTGAGGGTTAAAAGTATCAAGGACAAATTGTAAGTAATTTTTTTCAGCAGCCTCAGCAGAGGTCATTAAATGAATGACAGTTAACTCAAGCAGTACCTGTAGTGGCCTGTTTGGAACCAACTTGCAAGGCTAGTAAGAGTGGCAGACCGGTGCACACACGGACAGCTCAACTTGCACAAGCAGCAAATCTCTCCCCCCCCCCCCCCGCCAGGCTGCCAAGCCATAAAGGTTGGGGACTGCTGCTTTATGGTGTATATAATATTTTAAATTGTTTTGTACCTCTTCCCAATAGAAAAAATGCAAAATAATCTTCTTTAATAAATTATCTTTCAGATTTGCATGGGATATTATTAGGCTATTGAGTTTATTATGGAAGATCAGAGTAGCCATACCTGAATTTTTAAGATACCTGCTACCTGGGTGGTTGAAGGCATTATTGTGAATTTCCATTCTGATCGCCAACGACCATTCCTTTAAAAAAACAAAAAACAAATCCATAAAAGGAGACAGTTGAGGGAGAGAAGAGCGGAGGAGAGAGAGGGACAAAGAGAGAGAGGGAGAGAGATAACTATGTCTTGAAAATTATCACTACAAAATGCTTTTTTAAAAAAACAATGTATTTCAAGGAGCTCTGCCTAATCACTCCCTAAAGGGTTTTTCTAATCTTCAACTCTTTACACTATATTTAAATTAAAAGTACTAAAAACTTTAATTATTTAGAGTTTGTATATATTTGTAATGAAATTTCAATTCACATACACACTTGTATATTAGGCATAACTTTTTCACATTAAAAAGTGTTTATGCAATATAGCTCAAAATCTCGGTCCAATTTAATAATATTGATCTCTCACTGAGGCCTCTGCCAGTGCCCTGAAATTTGCCCTGGAGGACTGAAGAATCTTTACAGCAAGTTTTGTGAGATACATTTAGGAGAATTAGCAGAAGGGAGACTAGTGTGCCACAATTTAAATATATATAACAATTAATATTATCCAAAATGAATGTATGTTTTAAATTTAAACATGCTGAAATCAAAGTGTCAATAAAACTTTCTTTGGAACTTATTTATAAATAAAGTAGTTTATACGTACCAAAAATTCTTTGCTTGAAATTGATGACTTTCAATGCAAACAATAATGGTTTGATGTCCATCAATAGTTTTTCCATATACCTTAACCACAAATGGGGAAAAATGTTAACTTTCAAACTTTAGATACTAAATAAAAAATTAAATTATGCAACCTAAATAATAGTTTCAATCCAAGCATTTTCCAGATTGTGATACTTACTGTGCAGACACCATTTGGATAGTGTTCCTTCACATATGCTCTCATTGCTGTTTCTATGGAGTTTCGCCATGACTCAATTGCATTTTCAACATCGTGAGGCTTTGGATCTGTAGCCTCCTTTCGTAAATGATCAAATTTAAAAGCAATCTTGTTTTTTGGATCTAAAAATTTCCCATTGCCCAAATCACCATGCTCTGTTATTAATACCTACAAAAAAGTTATAAAGGGGCATTTCTTAGTTAATATCTCTACTTCTTTTAATTAATCACAGTACTATTTATACACATCTGATATTATAGTGTACATTAGCATTTTTAAGTGCAATATCCATCACATATAAAGAATATAAAGCTTGAATATAAAATAAAAACTCATTAATATCAATTAGTATTTATTTTCATAGAACTCTTCCACCAAAAGAAATAGATAATTAAATCAATTATGTGATTGGCTAACAACATTCTAATAATTTTTCTTCCTTTCAGTTTCTCTCCATTTAAATGATGCAATCCTCTGCAGATACAACTCTTTGCAGCTCTGTACCTATGATTGTCTCTGTTGCAATATTTGGAGAAAAAACGGTTCTCAATAATAGTGATTAATTAATAAAATCAGATTAGAATGGACTATAAGACATGCATTGTGAAGTTGTTGCAGCACCAAAACTATTGATTTATTCAATCAGCTGCAGAGTATATTGTTCAGATACCAGATACTCCATAATTAATCTAAAATGTTTTCTATAAACTGCATTACCAAAAACCACTTAATTAAAACATATTACTATTTTGCCCCACAACAAGCTCTTGTTTGGCTATGGTCAAGGATGCTGAACAACAAGGTGTCAAGGTTCCGACTAATGAACCCAAAAAAATCAGAACTCTGAGGGTTAAATTTTCCTCAAAGAACATGTTTATTGGATACATAATATCGGCAGGGTCAAAAGTGAAACCAATTCTAAAATTCCCTCCAGGAATTCAATGTAACTAAATATAACACTTCCCTCCCCTTTACTATGCTATGGATCACGCTACCCAATGAGTGCAATTTGCGGGGTTTGTGTCCTTTCTTCTCTCCACCTTCCAGCACCTGTGGGGATGACCTTGGTTCCCAAGGGAGCGATCCATGTTTAGGCTAGCTGCCCTTGCGCCTTCTTCTCCCCCTTCCCCCCAACCTCTGTGGCAACTGAGTAGGACAAAGATGGCTTCAGCCAGATTCATTTCAGAAGTTGACACAAGACCCTCTCCATTCATCACCAGGACTATGCACAACCCATCACAAGATAGAAATCCTGTAGGCCAGCATGGAAAACAGCTATTAACTTAACATCTACCCAGTTTAACCCCAAGAATGCCTGGAGAGAGGAATGGTCCAAGATACCTTATTATGGCCTAACCATTAGTGATCCCTCTACCAAGCCACCTGGTTTGATCTGCCTGACTCTGTTTGGACAAAATTGAACAGAATTAGGTGTGATACTGGAAGAAATCCCTCTGCCCTGTATCAGTGGGGATAAAAGATTCCCCTTGTTGCAATTGTGACATTGATATGCAAACAATTAAACATATGGCGCAACATACATCCATAACATACATTCTCTGGTACCTTAGACGATTTGCATGAAGCAACACCAGGGATCATCACTTGGATGGCTGAATTCAAGATCCAGTTATGGGACCATTGACATACCCACATAGAAGTTTTGTATATAATTATGTGCATTGTGTGTATATGTTTAATTCTCTTCTGTCATAGTCTCATCATATGCTAAATAATAATAATTTTCAAACTTAAATATTTTCAAGGATACCTGTTCATCATAGCCTTCTATTTTAGCTGGAGTAAACTGGTCCAAATTATACTGTGCAAATGCGCTAGAAAGACAAGAGATATCACATAAAATTTTTGCTACATATTAAAATAAGTAGTAAAACAAATATGTACTTCTGCACAAAGTGCAGATATTTATCTCTAATCAGTATATCCTCTAGATCAGAGGTCCTCAACCCCTGGACTGTGGACTGGCACCGGGCCATAGCATGCCAGAAACCAGGCCGTGCAAACAAGTGAAGTCCCATCCATGGGATGCAGGCAGAACACAAAACCACACTCCCTCTGGTTTGTAGAAAAACCTCTCTCCATAGAAATGGTCCCTAAAAGATTGGGACCCGCTGCTCTAGATAAGTCAAGACATGACTTGTTTGTTTTTAGATTAACATGATGCGTGAATAGGATAAGTAAATGAACTATGCTGTTTTTAGCTGTATATAATGGATCATATATTGGTTTACACAGTGACTTAGAGAAATGCATAATCTGTATTTTCCTATTTCTTTTTATTTCCAACCAAATCACTGGTTTGGTTGGATGCAAAAAGTACTGATAAGAAACTGACAAAGTTTCACATCTCTACTATGCTCATACACAAGACTTACTGGACTGTTCAACAAACTAGAGTTAAAAAAAGTCTAATTCAATTTATTAAAAAAGCAGTTTCTGAAATATTATCAAGTTTATGAGCCATGGTGGCGCAGTAGTTAGAATGCAGTACTGCAAGCTACTGCTGCTGACTGCCGGCTGCCAACAGTTCAAATCTCACGGGCTCAGGGTTGACTCAGCCTTCAATCCTTCCGAGGTCTGTAAAACGAGGACCCAGATTGTTGGGGACAATATGCTAACTCTGTAAACTGCTTAGAGAGGACTGTAAAGCACTGTGAAGCAGTATATAATTCTAAGTGCTATTGCTATTTTAATTCAGCAAGTAAAATTTTGAAAAGGCAATGAGAAATATTATTCTCTTCCTTGCCTACTTATATGTCTGAATAGAAATTTTCAATAGAGTCATCCTTTCTTAATGAAATGAAAGATAGGTATCGTATAAAGAAGTTAATACTTACTGTGCTGCTCCTTCCCTGAGAAGATTATCATTATTAAGTAGCAATCGAACATCTGAAAAATACTGAGCATTAGTATATGGTGAATATACTGGATATAAACCCAGTCAGAAAAATATATGCTAATAAATAAAAAAAAATCCATCTCAAATGCATGCCAATCAAACTAAAGGTTTTAAATGCTACATATTTGGTACCAGTTTGTATATGGGTGAATATACTTCTTGAAGTTTCAAAGGAAATACCATTTACATTTTCTGGGGATCTGTTCTATATTTAACTGGACATGACTTTCTATTTCTGGCCAAAAAATGAACAGATTTATATATAATATAATAACTATAGTATTAAAAAGCTTAAACAAGCAAGCTATAGAACAAAATATAACAAGCATTTAACCGCTGAAATTTTAAAATTCAATCAAAATTTCTTCTTACATCCCAATATACACATAATAAAGTTCAATGTTTATTGTAAACTGTCAAAATCTGCACTTTTATAAAGAAACAGAATGTATCACATAAGTTACAATGGCATTATGTTCATGGTCACTAATATACAGCTAAGGACTAAAGAACTAAAATGTTTTAAAGTTGAAACAGCAGAGTGTCCCAAGGTTGGAGCACTCAACCTTGAAACATTTTACACATTTCTAGTATTTACTACAAGAAAGAAAACATCAATTTACAGTAACAGGGCTGAAAAAAAAATACTCTGGCATTCCGAAGCTCTTAGTTCCTTTTACCAGCTCTAAAATGTTGCCCAATTGTCACCTGCCATCAGCTCACACTTCAATGGGTCTTCATGTAAGTTGATGTTACTTCTATACAAAATGCTTTTCTTTCATATATAGCAATTGATCACTATCTCTAAAAGCATTACAAAAACATTAAAGGCTATAACAGTGGTGGCGAACCTATGGCACACGTGCCAGCTGTAGCACTCAGAGCCCTCTGTGGGCACATGCCCTGTCGCCCCAGCTCCGCCTCCCCCCGTGGCTCCCTCCACACCAGCAGCCCCCGGGTGCAGTCCACGCGGATCAGCGCAGCCAAGGACATGGCAGCCGGGCAGCAGGGACAAGACTCTGCCCTCGTGCCCCATCGCGTGCAGATGATGCTGGGGGGCGCGGGCGGAGGGCGTGGCTTCCATGGTGCTGCAGGGCCACCTGGGCAATCTGCAGCAGGCCACAGAGGTGGTGGGTGGACCTGTGGGTGGATGGGGCGGGGGGATGGAGTGGGGGGTAGGCAGGGGGGTGGGATGGTTTTTGGGCACTCGGTCTCTAAAAGGTTCGCCATCACTGGGCTATAAGATAAAATAACAGCTATATGCTTCTTTGATTCATAGGTTTCAGAGGAAGAAAAAAATGGGGAGAAAATAATGAGTAAAAACCCACTGGCAAGTGTTTATGCAGGATTTGAGGCAATAGAATCACTCTGAGGTTGTCTTCCTCAAGACCGGTACCATTTTAAAATGCCTTATAGCTTGATAACCACCAGTTTCAATTTTAAGACAATTAGCCTCTACAAAATTATGTTAAGTCTATTCTTTTTGCTAACACTTCTTCAGCATCTATTGTGGCCAATTGTTTATTAAAGTCATTTTTTTAAAAAATATCTCATTCTATATCATTTTCTCAAATCCCCTCAAACTCTTCATAAAAGGGAGATATGCAGATCTCTTAATTAGAGCTTGAACCAATGATCAATTCCACAGCTTAGTCCCCCACTGTAACAAAGAACATGGACACAGGGGAGGACTAATTATACTGTATTCTAAATAAAACATTTCTAACGTATCTTATAACTTTAAGCTTATATTCAATATAACTTTTTTTCAGAGCTAACAATACAGAAATTTTAAAGAATAGTCAATCATACATACATTTATCTTCAATTAAACAGAAACTTTGAAAAGTAACTCAAAAGCAGATGTGTACAAAATGCTTCTAATTTAAACTATTTCATATGCAAAGTCCTGCTTAAAGCTTGACAAAATCAAATCTTTATTTTGTTTAAAGATACCCAGCATAAGATAATATCAATAAGAATTACATCCATTTCAGTAATAGGGAAATCTATGACATAAAAAAGATTAGTTACAAGATACTATAATATTAAAACACTAAGTATCTATATAAAAGTTATTAATTTTATTATTAAGACTAAGATTTACTAAGTCTTGATTTTAAAACAATTGTGCTCAAAACAAGCATTTCAAGCATCCTGGAAGTTTGGAACAGCAGCTTTGGATTCCAAACAAGATGCTTCAAATTTGAAATGACCAAACTTAAAACAGGACATTTCTATTTGAAAAACGGATGCTGCACTGTATATAGGCTATCTGAAATGAAAATCAGCATATGGCTTGCTCACCATTAAAGACCTCATTGAATTCTCCTGGTGGAGCGTGGATGATGAATTTTGCTGCTATGCGCACCTGGAATGAAAACAAATGGTATATTTTTCAACATAATTTGTAAAGGAAACAAGAATACTGTTTTAAGAAAACTGAAGTGTTAAAAGAACTGGATTTATTTTTAAGGAAGAAATGTAAGTATACCTTAATTCTACTATACAATAGTTATAGAAGATTGGTTGTTAACTTAAATGCAAAAAACCTGCAGCAGCAGTAACACAATTTAGACATAATACTCTGGAAGACAAAGAAAATAATCATCTTTCAGGAATGAACTGCTTGAAATATCTCAGAACAATATTTCTCTCCAATTCAGTACTAACTTCAAAGGTAGGATTTTTGTTAACATTGCAATCAAAAACGGAAGGTTTACTTTTTCTCCTAAACTAATATGACTCATAATTATAAGCTGTCTCCCAATTATACTATTTAAAGCAGGTGTTTCTTTATAATGAAATGCTTTGTCAAATGAATGAGCACAAAATAACATACAATAATGTGGGTTAACTTTTCCAGTATTTCAGTAAACTGCTAACATGCATAACTTTTAACACAACTTTTAAATTCTTTTATTTTATCAAATGTAATACATAACATAAATAAACATATTACTGTTAAACAAGAGATCGAGTTTTTTTGCAATTGTAAAAATGGCACTACCGGTATTTATAATCTCTTGTGACAAAGCAAAAAAATACTGGCACAAGACTTTCATTTTAATTCAGAAAATTCTTAAAATAAATATAAAATTAAAGACAGAAGTCTTCTTTTTAGGTCTCCTAGACAAAGGGCTTGAAAATTATTTTAAATATTGACTACAGCAAGAATTTTGTATGCACAGAGAAAGACACATCAATTCCCACAATGGAAGAATGGATGCTAAAGGTGATGGACCTGTCAAAATTGATTGCCTAAATTAAAGATAAAAATTTATCTAGTTATGTTTCCACTTGGAAACTGCTTCTGAACTTAATTCTCAAAACAAAAAAAATGAAAATTTGATTTTAGGTTTTTGTCTAAATTGACTATGTTGTTATAAAATGGTGTCAAATAATTAGAAATGTAAAAAGATTGAGTTTATAACTTTTCTTTTAACTGCACTGAAAAAAGCTGGAAGTCACTACCTTTTTTCTTTCTCTTTATCCTTTGCACTTTTTACCCTTTTTGACTTTTTTATATTTGTATTTTATCTCATAATAAACTTTAATAAAACTTTGAAAAAAATATTACCAATCTGAATCAAACTTGCCCTGCTGCTTCTGGGATACTTCTTGGCTGCGGCAGGCACAATTCTGGCCGCCAAGCAGCTGCCCATGCTGCTACTGACCTCATGGGGACTCTTAGTCCACCTGGGAGTGCTGCTCTCAGCAGCTCTGCTGGGCTGCTCCTGCCTAGTGCAGGGCAAGTCAGCCCAGATCTATGACCTCCAGAGAGCCCCACCTGCTACAGGCCTGCCAGGGCTCCTTTGCCACTGGCCATCTATGGACCTTACCTGCTACCCAGCTCGCCGCCAAGCCCCGACTGCTACCCAGCAGCCTCCACTATTTCCCACTGGAGCTGCCTCATGCACCCTGCAAACCTGGCGATGAGCCCCTCCTCTGCCCTGTGCGGCTTTGTTGGGTGTCTGGCAGGTGGAGGGAGGCAGCTCCAGCCCCCTCCACCTGCCAGGCTGGGCAGAAGGCAAGGTGGCAACAGTAGCCGGTGGCAGAGCAACTGCAGGTGAGGTAGAGGCTGAAGGCAGCCAAAGGCAGCCCCATGCATGCCTCGCACAGCTGGCATGAGAGCTGCAAGGCCCACCAGGGCCAGGGCACCTGCAGCACCGAGTAGGCATGCAGGCCAGCACACAGCAGCCCGAAGGCAAGGCAGCACAGCTCCACCAGCGGCCGCTGGTGAAGGGGCCCTGGCAGGGCGGCGGCGGGTGGGGCTCTCCGGAGGTCATAGATCTGGGCTGACTTGCCCTGCACTAGGCAGGAGTAGCCCAACAGGGAGGCAGAGAGCAGCACTGCCAAGAGGGCTAAGAGCTCCCGTTGACCAGCATGGGCAGTTGTGCCAGTTGCTGCAAGCAAGTGACAAGCGCATCAAAACCGAAAGCAGACTACTCATTGAGTATGGTTTGTCAGCCAGTTACAAATCCATCTGGTGGTGATGCTGTCTATCCCACATTTTTGTAGCTTATCAAGAAGTAGATTGTGGTCTACTTTGTCAAATGCCTTGCTGAAGTCTAAATATACTATGTCCAGTAGTAGCATTTCACTGGTCTACTAATTTAGTCACTTTGTCAAAGAATGAAACAAGATTAGTCTGGCACGATCTGTTTTTAACAAACCCATGTTGGCTACCAGTTATAACTTTATTTGTTTCTAGATGTTCACAGATCTGTTTTTTTATTATTTTTTCCAGTATCTTCCCAGGTATCAATGTCAGGCTGATTGGCCTGTAGTTTCCTAGGTCTGGTTTTTTTTCATTTTTTATTTTTTATTATAGATTACCAAATGTAATCTACAAATATACATATTACTGTATATAAGAAAATTATAGAGGTTTTTTGCTTAAGACATACAAAAAATAAGAAATGAGAGATGCTCCTGTTAACTTCATGTTTATGACCACAACGGAAATCAATTTAGTTAAAAGCAAACCCATATATCATGTTCATGCCTTTATAAGGCAATAGCAATATTTACTTAGATTTGTATTTACAATTCTTGCAATACAGAAATATGCATAACTATGACAGAGATTTTGTGATCATTTATAATATTTGTATTATTTATATTATCAGTATATTTAGTAATAAACCAGTGATTATTCATAAGTATATAGGCTGTAATATAAAGTAGCTTTTCTTTCTCTTTTTTCCTTGGGTTGCATTTTCAGCCTTATTTGTTTCATTTCTAATTTTTTTCATCTTAAAGAATGTTACAGGGAAGTGGGTGGACTATTCCTCCCTCACATATAAATAACATGAAAAAGCAGGATAGTAGAACCTCATTGCCACATCTATCTCTATATTACTAAAACTCTAGTGTTTCTACCCTCAAATTAGCCTACCACAACAATTTTTGAATCAAGATATCTCAAATCTGCTAACTGAAGGAATGCATAAAAAAATCTGGGATTCATTAATCCTGAAGAATTGAAACTTTCATGATGTCCAGACAGGTTTTATTCATAAAATTGTGGCCATTCCAGCAATCACACGTCATGATTTCCAACATTCCCTACATTTAACTAATTCTCTTCTGAAAAACCTCTGTCAAAATTTACTATCAAGTATTGGTTATCTTTAAGTATATTCCAGAGTTATTTTAAGGATATGTTATGTATCTGTAAGAATCTCATTGGTTTTACATTTGAATTAAGCATACTTGGGAGTAACATCTTCAGAGGTTTTATCAGCAAGATGTAGAATGAAAACTACCGGTGTTTGTGGAGCCTCAAGGTACAGACCTGACATGTTTCTGAAATTGAAGTAAGGATCATTTATACAGGGTTCCCCACCTACCCTTGGGTTTGGGAGGGAAATCTATTAAGCCTAAATGAAGATCTGAATGCTTGATTTTAGATGGGAAATAGGAGGAACCTTACTTAAGACAGACAGAGTTCCAGATTTTGTGCTACTTTCTCATCTTTCTTTAACATCCTATTTCTTAGTTATCCAAATGTCCAACTCAGAATTCCTGCTGATTTATTTACAATTCTTTGCAAATTTGTATTCAGAATATGCTACAAAATGCAGTGTGTTTTGAGGAAGTACGGTTCTTGTTTAAAACTGAAAGTTGCTTAATATTCCCCCATGGAACCTACCTAAATTATTTCCTCATACATTTGCATTTCCTCTTTACTGTAAACAAGCATAGAGTTGTGCACAGTACAATAACTTGGTTCCTAAAGTAAAAGTACTGGAGGAAAGCTGCCCATCACCTCTTCAATGATATTACCAACTATGGGAGAAAGGTGAGGCAAATATAAATTCCTTGTGTAAATTCTGTTTATACAAAGATTGTTCTCCTGGGATCTACCTAAGATCATGCATATTGCAAACAGGAGACTTTTTTCTCTTTTTTCTTCCCAGATTGCTGTATTATCCATCAGAGAGACTTCTGGAAGATATTTCAAACTTCTATATGAAAACTGAATTTGTATATATTTCGATAGAGACAGTAAATCAATATTACATATTCAATTAAAATATCAATTTCATACTCAATGGCACTTAAAACTCAGAATCTCATTTCTAAATAACCATTACAAAGCTTAATTTGCCTCATGATGAAGAAATTACTACTTAAGTGATCAATACCTATGATTTTTATATTCTAGAAGAAAACAGAGCTTTTGGGAGTACATCAAGAACATAGTTTTCAAGAATGCCTATGTAATATCTATTGTGTTATCAAGAATTTCAACCTAAATAAACAACCTAAAGGTAATATTTATAAATATAGTGAACAATAGTTGATTCATTAGGTCAGCGATCCCCAACCTTTCCAGCTTGGCGGCCTGGCATGGGGCTGAGAGGGGGGATAGTTCTGTGTGAGTGGCAGATATGTGCGCACCGCTCCATTTGTACAAGCACCCACTGCCCTCACAAGCTCCCACTACTTATGAAGGTGATGCTACATGTGTGAGCACAAGCACCCGCCACTCATGTGAGCGGAGCTGCATGTGCAGGTGCACTCATCTGCCGTTTGTGCAGCCTGATTCCAAATGGGCCATGGTCCACTAGTGGATTGCGGCCTGGGGCTGGAGAGCCCTGCATTAGGTTATCCTATCAGATATATATCCTGAAGCTGGTAAGGAACATCAGAAATGTTCTTTCCTTTCCTCCTTTCCACTCTCCCGCCCTCTTTTCTTCTAGCCTCATCCGTCGTTCCTCCCATATTTATCCCTCTTTCTTTCCTCCCTTTATTCCTTCTGCACTGTTCCTTCTTTCCTCCCCTTTCCTCCTCCTTCCCTCTCTCAAATTTCTACTGTTTCCCCATTTACTGTGCTTGTGGAAGCTTGCAGGGAGCGAGTCATTGGGAAGCCAACTCCAAGACCAGCGCAAGTTATGTCACACATACTGGATAAGCATATAGGTGGGCGGGGTGAGTCAGGAAGAGTGCTGGAGAGATGCTGTGTGGGTCAGGGATGGAGCTTACAGGTCTCAGCTTGGGTCAGGAAGGTTTGCAAAGTGGGCAAGGATTCATGGAAGAATGCAAAAGGTATTGTAGGGATCAAGGAGGGCACAGGGGGGATAGCGTGGATTGGGGAGAATAGTGTGGACTGTAAGGATACATAGGATTTTTAACCTTCCCTTCCTAGAAGACAGGTAAGTGGCTGCTAGTGGGTGAGGGAGGGGGCGAGGGATTGCCAGAATGGCTGAGAAACTATCAGGAACCTTGAAAATTAGGATCATGTGACTACAACAGCAGTCCAGCAGCTGAAAAAGCCACAACTTCCCCAATTTAATTTCCTCAGAAATCATACAGCCTGGATTTTGGAGATATTCTGTAAATTAGTCCATTTGAGATACCTTGGAACAAAAATAGTTGCCCTGTGTTTCATCCAGTTAAAGGTTATAGAGACAAGAGTTTTAGTTGTATAATAGACATCATTCTTTCAGAGATATTTCCTTATTAGATTCCTCAATGTCTTCAACAGAACTTCTAATGTACTGCTTTCACTGGAAAAGTTGGGATACATTCAGAGATGTATATACCGAGAAAATAGCCCTAGTTGAACTAGATAGCAATCAAATATTAACACAGAAAATATTTTATGACATTCTGTATTAAGTGTTTATGATAATATTTGTCATAAAATATTTTATAAAATTTGCCAAATTTCAGTTCTAAGAGAGTTATGGGTCACAGATTTTGAACACATTCTGTAAATTAGTCTATTTGAGGTTCCTTGGCTCAAAAATTATTGCTCTGTGACACCTGCAGTTTGGGCACCTTTTAGAGACTGAGTGCCCAAACTGCAACCCAAAACCCACTTATAATTTATCGCCGGGTGCCAGGTGGGCGTGGTCCACTGGGTGGGCGTGCCTATGGTGGTCATGGCAGATTGGGTGGGTGTGGCCAAAGTCATGTGATCACCTCGATGTTGCTCATGGGGACAAACGCCTCATAGGGAGGGACGCCTGTGAGGTCTGGGCAGGGTTGGGGGAGATCCAGGGGGTCTCTGGCAGGTGGGGCGATGGGCAGGAGGCTCGTCCTGCGGGATGAGGCGAGGCAAGGCGAGGCAGGGCGGGGTGCCATTGTCACAGGGCAAGGTGAGGCAGGGGCGGCTGCTGCCTGACACCATCGGCCCCTGTACACAGAGGCCAGCAAGCGCATGGGTGCTGGGATGCATCCGGCCATGTGGGACCTCGGTGAGTTAGTGGGCGGCTGGTTGAAGAGGGACGGTTGCCATCTCCGGGGCATGGTGCGCGTGCCCACAGAGAGGGCTCTGAGTGCCGCCTCTGGCACGTGTGCCAAAGGTTCACCACCACTGCTCTATGATGCACTGTTTTGCCCAGTTAAAGGCTATGACAACGAAAGTTTTAGTAGTATACAGATTGATGTGAACTTAAGAGTCTATGGTTCCTACTGAAGTCATTGAATACAGCTATCCTTCTGGACACAAAACCTCTAGATCACAGTTCGGTTAATGTACAACTAAGCTTTGGATAAACTAACCTATTTATTGAATAAATATAAATCAATTCAATTATTCATGAATTCTTTTATATTTCTTCAATTGGATAATAGTGGCATGAAAGGAAGTTATTTCCTTTCAATTAACCAAATCAAGCTAAAGACCATCTTGCAAAATTTTGATTTGATCCTGGCCAGTGGTCATTTCCTTAACTGCGGTTTATTAAATCTACAATTGCCAAACTTAAAACATGTAGTTTGGATTCATGCAATTAGGTTTTATTGAACAAATTCACAATTAACACATCAAGTAACTTTCCTATATTATGGCTTACCAACTTGCATGAATCTAAACTACATGATTTAAGTTTGGCCATTGTGGATTCTATAAACCATGGTTAAAGAAGTGACACTTAGCATAATAGGATTAAATCAAAATTTTGCAAGATGTTCTTCAGCTTAGTTTGGTTAATTAAAGGGGAATGACTTCCTTTTCATACCAGTATATCAAACTGAAGGACAAATATAAAATAATACATAAATGATTTGATTTATACTTATTCAATATCTATTGAATGAATAAAACCAGGGAAAAGAACCTCATACATCTTAAAATCTAGCTGTAAAACAACTTACACATTACAGAAGTAATGTGGGAATGTGATAGCTGCATGTTATAAACATACACGTGTCAGAAGAACACGAGCCAGGAAGATGGTTCAAAAACATGCTTAGCAACAAACAATGATTCATTATTAACTGGATTTTCACATCATGCTACATATAAGCCATCATTATAAATAATAACAGATAGATTGACAGATTGACAAAAGCAAATGCAGGTAGGCCACATTCTTTGCTATGTGAATCGAAACACTAAGTGAGCAATTTCTAGCATGGATCTGAGTAAAGGGAAAGGGCATGCAAACTTTAAGACTCCTAGGAAGAAGTGATCAGGAAGAAATTATTCTTTAACCAGCCAGAATTACCCTCAGCACCAGATTAACAAGCTGCATCTGGAGAACCCAAAATAGAAGCAGTGTGGGAGCCCCTTCCAAGCAAAACATTAGAACATATAATCAGATCTGCAGAATAATCCCTCAAAATTCGAGTCAAGGGCTAGATGTCAGAGAAGTCAGGAGCGGTAAAAAAAAAAAAAAAGTGTCCCCCAGAGTCACCTTTTGGAAATCACTTCATGCCACAAGAATAGATTACGGGCCATGATTAAATCAACTGAAGTGGGCTATGCCATCCACCAAGAAACTGCCCTAAACCGTTCCAGCGGCAAGAGAGGCGGCGGGACTAATCCCAGAGGCCGAAGGAGAGAGAGGGGCTGACCAGGAGCAGGAGGAGCCCCTTTCTATCAGCCGGACTTTCTCCGGATCAAAAAGGAAAGGCAGATCCAGGGAGAGGCGAGGAAGGTGGGGTGGAGACACCGGATCCGCCGCGCCCGCTTTGCTTCAGCCCCAGCTCGGCGCCTGCAGCCTATTTTCAGCCATCGGACCGTACAAGGAGCGGAGAAGGCGGCGAGTAAAGCAGGCCTCGGGCAGAAGGAAAAGAACCTTTCCCAGCTGGCAGAGTTGACTTGACGGCTCGAGCCTGCTCCACATCCGCTTGCTTAATTTCTTTCTTCCTTCCTTCCTTGTCCCCGGGAGGGGGAGAAGGAACCACCACCACTTCCTCCTCCTCCCTTCTCCCCCAACGCGACCTTCTGCAGCGAGGGCTTTCTTTACCTTCTCCTCATCGGAGAGCTGGTCGTCCTGATCCGCCATCTTAGCTCCTGTCCGGTCAACGCACGAGGAAAAAAAGAAGCCCCGGAGACTCGCAAATCGTTAACTGGAGAAGCCGCCAAGGCCCAGTCACCGTCTCCGCCCCTCAGTCAAGCAAGGAGGGCGGGGCTCGGACTCGGGGCGCGGCCTCGAGGCAAGGCGGAGGTGGAGAGGGAGCGCGAGGCCCAAGCGCGCAGCGCAGCAAGCAAATGAAGGGAGCTGGAGCGGAAGAGCATGCGCAAACGGTCTTCCGGGATTGAGGCCGTCATCTGCCGTACCTGGGTTTTCATTTTATTGGTCTCTCTTTTTAGGATTACGAGTTTAAGCCTTCGAGCGTTATGCTTAAATTCTTAATTGGTGAGAGTTTCAAATAGCAATATCAATCTGTTTGTTTTGTAAACATTTAGCAGACTACCTGGTAAGCCTCTCGGCCCCGAACACGCGGTGCCAAGCTAACATGCAGGGAGGTGTCTCCTACCAGCCTAGCAACCCCGACTAGAACCCAGTCTCTGCTTATCAGCTAACAAGAGAGTCCACCCTCTCTTCAAGCTTTGTTTTTTATTGTTTCAACAACGCCATTTGTCTCATATCAGTAATGCTTGTGGATACTTTGTATAACAAGTCTACTGAGTTCATAGGGTTGTTAAAAGTGTCTGTTTATTGATGAGGTTGTAATAAAAGAGCACCTATGTCAATGGATTTAAATCAGTCATTAAATTTGTAATTTATAGTAATTACATGTATAAAGATTAAGATACAAAAAAATGAGGGCTTGGCAAAAAAGCCAGTTGGATTCACAAGAGATTTGGGTTCACAAAAAAATGTCTCTACCAGGAGAAATGTTTTGATAAATAGATTATCTTTGAAATGAACTAAAATACATCATGGTCAAATTGCACCTTAATTGATAGTAATGATAGAGAAGTACCCATGATTGGAGGGGTTTAGGATATGGATTCTGCAATTTTGCTTTCTGTATGATGCTGAACTCAGAAGCTGAAACTATAATAGCCAGGGGGGAAGGCTAGAGGTTTAGGATGCCATAACTTAAGGGTCATACTTTCAATTCCATCTATAGATATGACTCAAATTTTTTTTTCTGTTTACTTTAGCGGTGTCCTACTTGTTTAAACAGAGGGTCATAATTAGGGAGAAATTGAACCATTGGTACCATTAATATTACTATCAATGAGTTTAATTCTTTTTATTCCAAGATGTACAATACCCGTTACTCTAGCAATCTAAGACCCCTGTTGAAATTGGTAGTAAATTTCTGCTTTTCCCCCATTGAGGGATACTAATTGTTAAATGAAAGACTTTGGTATTGCCATTTCTGCTGTGCTTTTTTTTTTGTGCCAGAGAATGCTAGAGATACTAGGGATCTTGGTGGGCTCAAGCATCTCTCTGTTCATTCATATTACTTGCCTTTCAACAGGCCTTTCAAAATGCCAAAACAGGAATAGATGTTTCTGCCAGGCATACAAAGTACTCTTTTGGGAATGAAAAGGGAAAGAGTTTTAATTATTCTGGTAAGCTACAAACCAAGGTGATTTATAAGTGTGTAATAATTGTGTGTTGCCAGGAGAGATCTAATGCAAGATTGGAGAGAACAAGTTAATTGATTAATACAGTGGTCTCCCTAACTTTACTTGGTATATCTGAGCATGAGGATGTAATTCCATTCACCAAGGTATAGGTGATAGATTGCAGTTTATGGAGTAATTCTAAATTGGGTAATACTTTAGAGGCAAATGAGAATAAGGGCACCCCACTTTCTTTCAGAAATGAAGTTTGTAGAACTGGAGAAGTTTAATGATCCTGAGTGAGACTTGGGAGGAAGTTTATTGGCATTTCTTTTGGAAACTTATGCATGTGAGAAATCCTTAAGGATTATTATGTGCTCTGAGTTGAATTGATCTCTACTCAATTTTTACTGTTAAGAGTATTGTTGAAATTTGTGTCTTTTAAGCGCTTTCAATATTCCTTGAGGAGGGCTAAGGGATTCATATCAAAGCAGTAACAGGGAAAAAGAAAGAGGACTAACAACATAGGACAAAATTTATTACATTTAGATCTATTCTGTCTTCTGTTTTCTTCTATATTCATAACAGTTGGAATAGATTTAGTTGCTTGCCTTCTGATTTAAACTGGTAATAATTGCTGGAATTTTTATATGCTTAATGAGTTAAAAATAAAATTCCTTTGCCTGTCCACTTTCATGGGAAACTCATACGCAATTAAAAATAAAAACTAGTTGTTCATAGCAAGCATAGGATTGGCACCTGCTGCTACAAAAAGAATCTTAAATATTGCATGTCTTTGGGGATGGGCCAGATATACATATCTAGAGTCCCTCTTTTATTTTTGCACTAGGTTTATAGAGTTCACTGGCATTGTCTTAAAGTGCTATTTAATATAACCAGATTTAAAATCTAGTTCCAAACAGCCATGCCCATTGTCTAAATCTTTTGCTATTAGATATATTTGCAAATTATTAACTCTGGAAAAATGGAATGGAATGTGGAGTTGATCTATAGTTGATGCCTTTTATATAAGGAGTAAGTAGATATCCTCTTGATGGCACTGTTGGTTTTATTTCAGCTTCAATTCTACAGTAAGCTGATTTTGAAACCTTAATTGGTTTCCTTTTGAAAACAAGCATACTGTTTCAACAGAGGGTCAGCATACATTGTTCTGGATTCTAGCTTTTTTGTTTACAGCCATGTAATCAATATATTGGGAGAGTAATTAATTTTTAACTTCCATCCAATTGTAGATCAAAAAGAATAATTGCGATTTTTTTTAAAATTACAGATGACTTTGTGCTGCAAAATACCTGTCTCAGTCTTAAGTTAATTGTTTTAATTAATAGATATATTAATAGATTTTTTCAATAAAAGAAATAACTATTCATGATAATGATTTGGTTATGTTAAAATATATCCTTTTGCTAAAGTTGTATTTATACATTTAGTTTGCTGAATGAAAATCCTTACTAAAGAAAATATATAATATGAAGTTTTATATTTCTTGTTATTCCTGTCCTCAATCCTACTCTCATTGTTCTGAAGTCACCCAATATATTTTAAATTAAGCTGCATTTTGTTGCCCTTAACTACATAAATTCTAGAAAAACATCAGTTAAAATTTGCTTAGTCTTCCAGCCAGGCTGTGGAACTCCTGAATGTACTCAGTCACTGATAGATTTCCCTGCCTTATGGAACAAATTCCACTCAGCAGGCCTTTGCTGAGTCTCTAACTTCTTCCAGTCCCCATAAGTTGTCAGATACTGGGATCGATGGTGTCAAAGGCCATTGAGATGATCCCTAACAGGTTATAAAATATCAAATTCCATATTCAGAGTTCTGATATAGTTCACCAGACTGACCAATAGTGTTTCTATCCCAGGCCTAATTCTAAAATGTGTCTGAAAAGTATCTAGATCAGACATGTCAAACTCAAGGCCTGTGGGCTAGATCCAGATCCATGATGGGTTTAGATCTGGCCCGGTGGGACCTGGCCCATAGGATGAAAGGCGGGGAGATGGAAGTACAGTTGAGTGTCAGCAGGGGCTTGCTCTATATTGCCTTCTCCACTGTGTGGCAGGGCTGGAGAGTGACCGCCGGATGCAGAGCCATGGCCTGGAATGGCCAGGCGCCCAATGATGCACAAGTCACCCCATGGAGAAGGATGACTGCACCCTGAGCCCTGAGGTACAGGTCCAATGGAATGCCATGGTCTGAGCAGAGAGGAGGCCAGGCACAGATCTGACCAGAGGAGGATCTGGGGGCCTGGTCAGTGTTAATGGTCCCCCTACCTGCCAGAGCCCTGGGCAGCAGAGAGCAAGCACCCAGCCCAGCCCTCAATCTCTCAGGGCATTGGGACCCTGCAGTCCAATCCAGCCCCATTTCCCCAAGGGGGTGCCCTCCCTGAGACAGCTGCTTGAGGGACAGGAAGGCTCCTCTGGTGGATGACACTTTGGCACTTTACCCTGGTCTTGCCTTCCTCTGCTGGAGACCTCCGGATTGCCCCTTCCAGCTTTGCCTGGCTCCCCACAGGGCCCCTTCATGAGTGACGTCGAGCCAGTCATGTTGAGCTGGCTATGCCCACCTGGCCCTTTTGAGGGCAACCATAATGCTGATGCGGCTCTCAATGAAATTGAGTTTGACACCCCTTCCTATATGGTCCTCTGTAGCCAAGTTGTTATTACTTGGGCTACAATCTTCTCCATGCTACGTTCTAACATTAGCTTTAGATGAGATTTATCAAAGTGTTCTAAGTGAAAGTGCTATGTATCAGTTCTTATTGTCCCTGAATCTTCTAGTTCTCTAAAAATATATGTGCTTGTTAGAGATCTCAGCAATAATAATAATAATAATAATAATAATAATAATAATAATAGAATTGGAAGGGACCTTGGAGGTCTTCTAGTCCAACCCCCTGCTCAGGCAGGAAACCCTATACCATTTCAGACAAATGGTTGTCCAGTCTCTTCTTAAGAACTTCCAGTGTTGGAGCATTCACAACTTCTGAAGACAGGTTGTTCCACTGATTAATTGTTCTAATTATTAGGAAATTTCTCCTTAGTTTTAGGTTGCTTCTCTCTTTGATTAGTTTCCATCCATTCCTTCTTGTCCTACCTTCAGGTGCTTTGGAGAATAGCTTGACTCCCTCTTCTTTGTGGCAACCCCTGAGATATGGAACTCTGCTATCATGTCCCCCCTCATCCTTCTCTTCATTAAACTAGATATACCCAATTCCAGCAACCTTTCTTTATATATTTTAGTCTTCGATCTTCTAATCATCTTTGTTGCTCTTCTCTATACTCTTTCTATTGTGACACAGCACTCCAATCTTTCTCTGTCCTGCTTATTTCTTGAAAATATATCTCTACTCTCCCATTGCACTTTGGGGAAATAGCTTCCAAAGCTTTTGGTAGACTGATATATAGAGTTACTGATGAGTTGTAGACTAATACATGCTTCTATCCTGATCTACAGTACAGTAAAATAAATTTAACTTTTCTGTTGATTCCCATTTAGCCAGAGTCATGCCTAAATAAAGCTTGACTTGCTTCCAGTGAGACCATTCCTAAGCCAGGTCCTCAGAATAATTCATTCCTCCTGCAGATTTCAGTCCTTATGCCATGCCTGCTGC